TGCTATCGCTACGCCACTGCTACTGCTACTGCTACGGCTGCTGCTACTGCTACTACTGCTGCTACTGCCAGCTACCGTTGCTACTGCAGTAGTAGTAGTAGTAGTAGTAGTAGTAGTAGTTGTAGCAGCAGTAGTAGTAGTAGTAGTAGTTGTTGTTGTTGTTGTTGTGGTGGTGGTAGTAGTAGTAGTAGTTGTTGTAGTAGTGCTAGTTGGTAATGGTAGTGGTAGTTAGTTAGCTAGTTAGCTAGTTAGCTCGTCAGCTCGTTAGTTAGTTAGTTAGTTAGTCAGTCAGTTAGTTAGTTAGTTAGTTAGCTAGCTAGCTAGCTAGTTAGTTAGCTAGTTAGTTAGTTAGTTAGTTAGTTAGTTAGTTAGTGGTGGTGGGCATGGCGCTGGGACGGAGAATGACGATTCCTGGAGACACAGGAACAGTATTCAAAACCCTTGGAGACCCAAGCCGCACCTTCAATTGAACGGTGGTTAGTATTGTGCAATGAGGTCTGGAACGTGACCATGGCTAGCAAGAAGTCAACCCTGAAGCCCTCCTTAATCCCCTCCTCCTACGACTGCTACGACGACGACTACAACGACTTCGACGACGACTACAACGACTACGACGACGACTACTACCCATCTATTCAGAACTGGGATCGCCGAGACTTGTATTTTGTTCCCCTAAGCCCTAAATCCCTAAACCCTACGCCTAAGCCCAAGCCCCTAATGTAGGGGCCTTAATAATTAGAATAGGGTTTTGGGGCCCATCCTTATAATGTGGAAACCCCCCAAATAGTATTGGTAATTATTTAGGTCCCTAGGCCCTACACTAAATCAAAATCCTAAACCCTGACTCCTGGACTCCGAGACCCCAAACCAGAAACCCTAAATCCCACATGCCGCAGGCACAACCCTAAGGCCCTAAATCCGAAACCACAACCCTAAGGCCCTAAATCCGAAACCCTAACCCCCAAATCCCGAACCCTGAAAGCTATGGCTTAGGTTCCAGACATTACCCCCGCAGCCCAAACCCTCAGTGGCCCAATGGCATACACTGAATCCTAAACTCTAGCTAGCCCCTAAGTCTCAACTGCCAAAGCGGCTATACCCTCAATTTTTCTTCTCTCATGCGTGCCTTTCGCTCCTCGGGGGGCTCCCGGGGCTCTCGTGGAGACGTACCGATGTGCTGCCCTTGGGCTGCCTTCCTGGATCTGGGGTTTGGGGTTTAGGGGTTTAGGATTTTTCCATCCTTTTGGGTTTTGGGTTCGGGGGTTTCGGGTGTAGGGGTTTAGGGGTCTAGGGTTTACGGTTTCCTGGATCTGGGGTTTGGGGTTTACACTCTCACAACTCAGACAAGCCAGGCGAGGATCCATGTGTGCGCAGTCAATGTGAAAAGCTGAAAGCATCCGGATTTAGGGGTTTAGGATTTTTCCATCCTCTTGGGTTCGGGGGTTTCGGGTGTAGGGGTTTAGGATTCAAGGGTTTGGGTTTCCTGGATCTGGGGTTTGGGGTTTAGGGGTTTGGGATTCAAGGGTTTTGGGTTTAGGGTTTCTGGGAGCTGGGGTTTAGGGTTTAGGGGTTAGGGGTTTAGGGTTTAGGGTTTAGGGTTTAGGGTTTAGGGGTTCAGGATTCAAGGTTTTTGCGGTTTGGGGGTTTGGGGTGTAGGGGTTTAGGACTCAAGGTTTAGAGTTTGGGGGTTTAGGGCATGTTTAGGGGTTCAGGGTTGAAGGGTTTTTTTTGACACTCACACTCGGACAAGCCTGGCAAGGTCCACCACGATACTGTCTTCAAGGGTCGTTAACATACGCATCAAAGTAGGTTCCCTTTAATGCTCGCTGTCAAGTAGGATAGCAGCATGAACAAAAGCAAGTGTGCAAGCATAGGCAATATCCATTTGACAGCCACCTTCGCGAGCCAACTCGCCTAGACCCAACACAACCAACCAAGACCTAGTTCGGCTCTGAAGGTTCCGTGAAACATGTTCCATCTTACTCGCTACTCCACAAAGCAGAAAGTTTCAACCTACTCAGCATACACTTCCTCCATCGACAACTCTCTCGATCCATGCAAATCCATCGACATGCATGCTGCCAGCACTTGCATCGCCACTGTTTGTGTCAGGAACCTCTTCACTTCGCAGAAGTCGTGTCATGCAGAACCGAGCCTCTTCACTTCGTTTGAATTCGTATCTTGCAGGGGTTTAGGATTCAAGGGTTTTGGGTTTGGGCGGATAGGTTTTTGCTTGGGGACTTCTGAATCCCCTAAGCCCTTAACTCCTCAACCCTAAACCGGCATTATGTGCTGTCTCCAGAGTCTGATGACATAATCCCATGACCACTTGCTGAGACTTCTATGTTAGTGCTGTATGTTTGGGGTTGAGGCTTCTACGCAATGGCCGGGTAGGAAGAAGTAAGCTAACCATGACATACTCCCTCTGCTCCGTGATGCTGCAAGTAGACATGTCCTCTTGAAGTGCGTACTGAAACGTATACCACAAAAGTCGTGACCCTTAAAACCCCGACAAACCCGGAAACTCTAAAGCAAAACCTTAAGCCGTAAAGCTTGCATCACGAAGCCCTAAGACTCTGCGCCAACGCCCAGATCCTTTAAAGAGCCCGGATTTCTACAACAATACATGAATATATATGTATATATATATATATATGTATAGATAGATAATATATATATATACAAACAAACAAACAAACAAATTAACGCATATAGTCCATAAGCTCTAAAGCGCCTACCTGGCTGTGCCGATGACGTAGCCAGTAGGATCTCGGACAGTCTCCGCGTTCTCCTCTTTTGCGACGAAAAGCATTGTCTAGGTCTTCGGGGTTGTTTTGAAGCTGAAGGGGTTCTGGCTTTGGGGTTTCAGCACTCACTCTCGGACTTGCCTAGGCGAGGCTTGGGGTTTGGGGTTACTTAAGGTGAAGGGTTTCTGAAGCGTTCCGGGTTCCGGCATTTCGAGTTCTGTGAAGGCTTTGGGTCTCCGGGCCGTTGAGAGAGTCGGGGATTTCTGGGCTTGGGGTTTAAGATTTGGGGTTTAGGGTGGGCTTGGGGTTTAAATGCTACTTCACAGTGGGCTTGGAATCTGGGGTTCCCGAAGTTATCTGTGCAGGCTTTCGATGGAGTTCTCCCAGGGTTTGTACAAACTTGCCATGAACCAACATGGGAGTTTCCGAAAGCAAGGGGTACCTTATTTTGGGGTCCTTATAATAAGGGTCCTACTATTTAGGGTACTATATTAGGGTCCCCTATTTTCGGACACCCCCACATGCAAACGACAAGCCCCGGCTAGCAGTATAGTCGGCTGACAATTAGAATAGAGTCTTGGGGGATGATATACTGCACTGATAAGAAGGACCCCTAAGAAAGAATGTTGGTAATTGGCAGTCACTCAGGCTTCCGTATAATTCTAGGTGGAATTTGACCGGAGGCTTTCAAGCGGGACGGAAGTTGAATTGATCGCAGTTTTGGAAGTGGGTTTGAGGCTCATGGGCTGTCATTACCCATCGGCCCCATAGTAGTTCCTTTTTGGGGCTCATATTTAGAATCCTATCCTATAAGGTAATCCCAAGAAGGAACTACTATGGGGCCTATGGGTAAGCTTTCGACACTCCGAGCATCCTCGAAGTTCTTCAGGACCTCCATTGCCTGCAAGTTCGGGTTTAGGGTTTAGGGTTTAGGGTTTAGGGTTTAGGGTTTAGGGTTGAGAGGGCAAGACGTCCCGACATAGGACTTTGAGTTCTCCAGAAACCCTAAACCCTCAACCCTAAACCCTTTTTACACAGGCTTGATTGGAGCTAACCCTACACCCTTTTGCTGCAGGCTTGCAACCCTAAGCCCTAAACCCTGAACCCTAAACCCTAAACCCTGAACCCTAAACCCTAAACCCCGAACCCTAAATACAGGCACACATCGAACCACTCCTGGCCTTGTTGGTTTGGCACTCCAGGAGAACAGGGGCGGCCTCGGAGTTTTGGGGGGTTTTTTGGGCGCAAGGAAAGGATGCAAGAGGTCTAGGGTACCCATCGGCTCCATAGTAGTTCCTGTTTGGGGTTCATATTTAGAATTCTATAAGGTAATCCCAAAAAGGAACTACTATGAGGTCTAGGATAGGGGCTCAGGGTTCGAAGGGTCAGGGAGTCGAAGTTGGGGGTTTTGGGCGTTTAGGGTCCTGGGGTTCGGGGTGTTAAGGGATTTCCGCACTCAGAGGAGCTCAGGGTTTGGGGCCCCATTTTGGGTCTTAAAATCTCAGGGTTTTCAAAATACTCAAATCTCAAGGTGAGATTTAAGAAAGTCTGTAGGGTGCCGTTGCCAGAGAAACGACCGAGGACAAGCCCACAGACATGAGTAGCATGGCTCTGATACCTCTTTACACAGGCTTGATTGGAGCTCGACCTAAACCCTAAACCCTAAACCCTAAACCGGGTCTGGTGGGGCTCTACCGGGGTTTTATGACGAGGTCATGGTCCCGCGCTTTTTGAGAAATGCTCGCCGATGACGCACGGCGGAGGTAGGAGCTGCGGGCTGATAGGACTTCCAGGGTTTAGGGTTTTTCGGGTTCAGGGTTTAGGGATTTAGGGGTTTAGGGTTTTAGGGTTTAGGGTTTGTTTCGGGTCTGAGCGCTCAGATGTTCGGGTTTAGGGGTTTAAGGGCTTTGGCTTAGGGATTGGTATGAAACTTTCGACCCTATAGATTTCTCTAGTCCGAATGAAACAAATATAGACAGCCACCATGAATTGTGATGTTACCCTAAACCCTAAACCCTAAACCCTAAACCCTAAATCCTAAACCATGGATTGTGATGTTACAATACGTTGAGGGCTTTAAGGGGTTCCGGGTGTTGGGTTTAGGAACCTTAAGCCCTAAATTTCCCAACCCTAAACCCTAAACCCTAAATTCCCCAAACCTAAACCCTAAACCCTAAACCCTAAACCCCAAACCTAAACCCTAAACCCTAAACCCTAAATTCCCCCAAACCTTCCTCCCTTCGCTCATTTTTGCTCTTCTCCGCGCTCGTTGCTGACAGCCGCATCTTCGGCCGTCGCGTCGGGATGGTCTGGGACAGCCTGGCGGATTTCATCGTGACATAATGATTCAGAGCTTCGGATTCCTGAGATTTGCGCTGGGCATTTGGGGTTTAGGGTTTAGGGTTTAGGGTTTAGGGCTTTCCGAAAATAGGGGACCCTAATATAGTACCCTAAATAGTAGGATCCCTATTATAAGGACCCCAAAGTAAGGTACCCCTAATTTTCGGAAACTCCCATAATGATTCAGAAACAGATGCACTCTGCAGGGATTCTCCATACTGTAGGGTTTATAGGATCCTAGACCATGAACCCTAAACCCTACGGTTTGACACTTTTCCATCAAGATATCTGCAAGGCCCTGGCAAACAGGACCTTTGTTGAAGCGAGAGCTGGGAAATGAGGCTTTACACTCGGCTTGTTGCTTCAAGTCAGACGGTTTCTGCAGCAGCGCCTTTTAGGGTGGGTGCTTCTTCTGTGAAAGGTTCTAGAAGCCCCAAAATCCCAAACCCCCGACTTCAGATCTGACCTGGCTACTTACCCTGAACCTGTCAGAGGCACTGTGAGGATCATTCACTTTGAAAGACCAGGGGCAACGGTCTGCACGACAGCTGGCAGCCAGAAATCCTAACCTACCCTAAACCCTAAACCCCCTAAACCCTAAACCCTAGACTCTAAACCCTAAACCCGCCTTTTCAGAGGCCTCCATAGCCGCACTCTTGGACCCAGTCCCTAGGCCTGGAGACCCCAAAGCATGCTGTCCTGACATGCCTCACAAACGCATATTGTTGCTATGTGGGAAACTACACACTCCCCTGTTTAACGGGAAAGCACCATAGCTTAGCTAACTGAGCAAAAAGTCTCGCGATAACCTTTGTGTATCCTATACTATGCCATCTCCCCCCGTCGGAGTACGACACCGGCACAGAGTCGGGCCAGCAAGCGCTTCTGAGATGTGATCCCGCCTTTTCAGCATCTTTTTGCCGCGAAGCTGCCTTGCTTCCTGCAGGTGTGCAAGCAGGGGAAGTCTGTATAAAAATGCCACAGCCATTTAATGTTTCAGAAAGCCTTCAGAATTCAGAAGTCTTGAGGCTTCCACTTCGGCTCCCGATCCTGAGTCTTTGAACCTTGAGCGTGAACTGCTCTAAAAGCTCAATCTGGCCCGGAATCACTCTTACCCATAGGCCCCATAGAAGTTCCTTTTTGGGCTTACCTTATAGGACTCTATATATGAACCCCCAAAAGGAACTACTTGAGGGCCTATGGGTATGCCCTTGAGTTCCAAGCCCCTGTAACTGGATCCCTCTTGCAAAACCTCGGGAATGCTCCTGGCTTTGCGGATTAGGTTTAGGGTTTAGGGTTTAGGGTTTAGGGTGCAGGTCATGAACGTATCTTTGCTTGGCCCATGCCAGTCACGAGTCGCCTGGACCATGTCGCCCTGTTCCAAATGCGGGGGCTGCAGCCACACGCAGTGAACGCATGATCAGTGGTGAGATGTCAAGACTATTGGGCAATGTCCGGGTGTTGCTGCACTGTCAATACGAACTATATGTACTCGTCAGTATCTCGGCAGTCCCCTCACCTTCAATGCTAGACCCTAGTCCTAACTAAAACCCTCAACCACCTTCAAATTCAGACTTCCCAAACCCAACGACTGAACCCTAAACCCTAAACCCCTAAACCCTAATCCCCTAAACCCCGACCCAACGGCTGAACCCTCTTTGAAGTCAGAACTCCCAACTCCCGGAGACCCCAAACCCGAGTCCTTTCTTCGCTCTGGGCCGGCTTTTCCCCAGAAGCTGCCTTCCCAAAGAAGCCATGCGGGTGAAACCTGGCAAAGGCCTTAGGGTTTAGAGTTAAGGGTTTAGGGCAGAGGCTTGTGCAGAACCAGCATTCTCAAACTACAGCGGCAACACAAGCAATGCACGTATGAATGTATGTATGTATGTATGTCTGTATGTATGTGAAGATGTTAATTATGTATGTATGCATGTTTGTATGTATGAATGTATGTATGCATGTATGTATGTATGTATGTATTTATGGAAGACTGCATGAATTTACGAATGCATGCATGCATGCATGCATGCATGCATTGATGGACAGATGGATGGACGGATGAATGGAGGGCTGGATGGAAGGATGTACTTATGTTATCTATCTGTGTATGTATGCTTAAACCCCCACACACACATACTATACTAGTAGACTGCTTCGTGCCCTTTACAGTAGCAGCCCAACAGTTGGAAACCTAATAGCCTTAGTCTAGAATTAATGCAAAAGGAATTCCAGCAATATTTGTCCTTAATCAGGTTTCCAACTTTTTGGGGGTTTATTATATATCGTAAGTACCCGAGCTCCAGATCCTGAAGCCAGAGAGCCTCTCTGAACCCGACACTTTTGAAACACCCTGAACTCGGAACCGTTGCATGCAACACCTTTGTGATCAGAAGTGTGGGCGTATGTATATGTAGGTATGTACATGTGAGTATGTGCATATGTGTGTAAAAAACAAAACCATTAATTCAGAAATAAACAAATTTCTGTCTCTATAATATATATATATATGTATTTATTTATATATTTATTTATTTGTTTATTCATACGTATTTGTACTATATATATATATATGTATATATATATATATATATTATCATTTGTGTGTATATATATATATGTATGAAGTGTATATGCATATGCGTACACAGTGTGTGTTCTTAACATTAAGACCTTTACACATATGGGGGTTTCCGAACATAGGGGACCCTAATAGAGTACCCTAAATCGTAGGGTCCTTATTCTAACGACCCTAAAACAAGGTACCCCTTACTTTCGGAAACTCTCATATCTGACGCAGGCCGGGAGGCCGTCTTCCGCGCACGGGTCGAGTTCTTCGACCCAGCTGCTGCGCAACGCCTCGGGGGCCTGGGATCTGCGGCTTTGTTTGGTTCGTGCTTTTCAGGTTTAAACGGTTCAGGGTTTAGGGTTTAGGGTTATAGTTCAGGGGTAATTTCTGGGGACTTGAATTTCGGGATGGCTTGTTTAAAACTGTGGTATAGTGGTGGTTCAGGGTTTGGGGCGAATACGACGAGCTTTTCAGAAAATCCTTATACAGACCATGCGTAGCAGGATCCTTCTATCCGATTCTATCCCCCTTCAATACGGCACCCCTAGCTGTGGTCGGCCTCCGTGTTTTGAGGCTGCATCTTGACCTGAGTGCTCGATGGATTTGGTGCGCACCTGTATCATGCCTTTGTTTTGGTCAATGCTGACCGATGCTTCTGTAGAAGGGTGCCTTGTGGCAGCCACTTCATCTCAATGCACAAAAGCCAGAACTCTTCTGAAGCCATAACTATGCCAGGGACATCTGCCACGTGCCGAAACGATAAACCACAAGACTTGCAGGCTAGGTTCGCAAGCCCCGATGCCTTACCCATCATCTCCCTATGCTAGTCTAGACCTGGAACAATAGAACCCCCAAGCCCTCAACCCTAAACCATAAGACCACTCCAAATAAAGTACCTCGCAGCCCAGAAGTCTAGATCTGAAACAGCCGCGGTGAAGTTTGTGGAGCCACGCTTTCAAGTTTAGGGTTTTGGGTTTAGGGGGTTTGGAATGTGT